CTAAAGATTACTTTAAATATCTGCCAGTATTTCTGCATTGCATTTAAAGACTTATAAGACACTTTATCAGCAAATTACTGGCGTATGTGGTTTAATGCATTCTGCAGGCAGTAGTTACAACCATCATCCCTGAAAAAAGGGAGATCAAATGCTACTGCTAACCTTGCTGCAAACTGAGAAAAGCTGCTGCAGACAGAATGTCCTCATACTGCCAAAAAAGGAGAATGTCCAAACTGTGGGTATGTATAAGCACACAGTGAACACTCAGTATCTAGCAGATCTCCAGCCCAGCTGATTCCCAAGGCAGATACAGAAGTGCTTCTGTTGACCATGGAAATTGAACAGAGTAGGCTAGAACGCCTTCCAGTGTCATGGCCGTGTTGGGATTTAGATATAGCCGGCAGCACTTATAAGTATACGCAGTACTTATGTATGCATGAGACATCCATTCACCAGCAGAACAGGGAGGTAGCTTGTAAATGAGTACTTAAACTTTAAGACACTCCAATGAATTTCACTCTGTCTAGAAACACATCTGTTCAGCTTGTAAAACCTGCAGAGGAAACCAGGCACATTTTGCATAGGTAAGGTAATACATATCCTGTTTTGCTCCCAGGAAGATGTGACATATTCTAGGAAAGGGGGCAAGTATAAGGTTGTCAATACACTGGCAGATGACAAAAACTTGTATTTTCAACTAAGACTGAAGCTACTTCCAGGCTTCTCTGAAGGGATATAGCTCCAAAAGGCAAATTGCAAACACACCAACAAATACATTTCAGCAATGATCAACACATGGCCATTGCAAGGAATAATTCTGATCGCTCATACGCCCTAAACTCCAAATTAAACTGGGTATCTGTGCGGGCAATTCAATGAAAACATTGGTCTTTGCCCATCTGCAGATTAAAAAAAAAAAGTGGAGAAAACATTCAAATGCATGAAGAATATATTACAAGAGGCCATTTTTTACATATTAACAAGATGCTTGCAAACATATTTAGATTCCATCACCCAGTCTGAAAGCAGAACACAGAAAAGATTAAAATGAATTTAAAAATCAGAAGCAGCAATAGACAAAACCATGGAAAAGCTTCACAGAGAGTAGGACAATACGCATCTGGAGCGGGGACAAATCAGAGAGACTCAATAAAGAAGGAAAATCACTGAAGGCAGAGAGAAGGTTTAACACCCCTCGTAATTAGCCCCTCATTACAAACGCACAGTGAAACTGATGGGGGGGTAGAATTTATTTGAAGATGATATGAGAAAAAGTAATCCTACATCGATTTAGCTTGCTGGGACTGTCAGAGATCTCCCTCCCTACTCTGTTTCCTTTGGCAGAGATGGGATACAGTGACTAAGGCAGGGCAGTAAGTCAGACTCCTGCAGCAGAAGTTCCAAGGAGCACATACTGAATGTGCATCTCTCCCCACCACGCTCACCGGTTTTCTTCCTTCTCATGTTCCTTTGTTCATTCACACCAACACCTAGTTCCCCTTTAAATCCCATTCCTGTTTGAGACCTTCAGCCATTAGTGTACTCTAAAGTAATATCTTTAATGTGCTAAAAGCACAGAAATGGGAGTCGGGGGATTTTTACATTTACACTCACAACTAGCTTTGCCATCTCAGTCCTCTGTACAGAACAAAATATCTCATGTAATCCCTGTTTACTTCTGAATAAAGTTCTTTAAAAAAATGCAGAAGCTGTGAATGAACATGGAAAATACCGAACAGAAACAAGAGAAGCAAAAGCTAGAGATACTATACTTGCATTTAAGAACCTTTCAGTGCTAACTACTCTATAAGACCCTTCTAGACGTCCGTATCTGCCACAGAAAGTAGCAGCTCTCAAGTGAATCAAGACAAGAATCCAGGGAAGACAGACAATGACAGGAATCCCATTCCACTGTGTTTTGAGTCATTATGACAATATGGGGGATAGCTGTGTAAGTGGTGCTACCACAGATGTGGACTGAGACACCATCATCCTTAGATGGAGTAACCAAGAGGAGAGAGAAGACAGCTCCTGATTATGTGACAGGAATAGGGAGTAGAGAAATGAAGAAAGACTAAAGCGTGGTAACTTCAGAAGAAAATGCATTTCCAAATGGATAGGACAGCTCCACAGAAGAGAGGGAAGAACAGTAAGCATTGGAGAAGGGCTGTCATTCTGTTCTGCATTTGTACACACTCAGGATCCTGTTATGTTAGCTTAGCAATGCTGCAATTAAAACAACAATAAAAGCAGTATTATTGAGGTAGAAGAGCTACCAAAAATAAAGTTAGCCAGCACTACATACTCAGGGCTTGATGATCAAAACTCAACAGAATATTACCAACTGGAATATTTTCTTCTATTTTGGACATACTCAAAATGTTTAGAGTACATCCTATACATGTGAAAAACAGAGCGACATCAAACCCATCACATCTTGTGAGTGCATTTAGGGAAGGGTCAGAGGCCTTCCCTCACTAAGCTGATGGATGTAGTTAAACATGCACCTAGTTAAGGGCCTCCCATGTTGCCCTGAATATTTCAAGGCTTCAGGATTACATTCCATTACAGTCCGCTAAGGATGTCACCAATAAACAAGTGATGACAAGTGCCACATCCCATCCTTACACGGTTAACTGAAACCTGCCTCCCTGGAGGGTTGGGGAAAGAGCAGAGAAAACCCTGCTAGAGTCTTTGACAAAGCTGCATCCGGTGTACAGGGTTTCACTTACTATGCTTTAATTTTAAGGTGCACTTTAGGTGCACCTAAGGTGCATTTTAAGTCCAGTCTCTGCCCTCCAGGAACTGGACGCCATCAGCTCCGCTCCTTTATCCACTAGCTCTCAGTTGTAATTTAAGGATATGCCAATGAACTGAGTGAACTGTTGGTTGCTTAGCTGAGGTCCAGTGTGTCAGGTACCACAAACTGTACTTCCAGCACTGCCTCCGTGGGGTGTAACATCCCATTGAAATATTAAGGGAATTAAAAGGCACAACGCGGCTGCACAATGACTTGAGAGTGGGAACCAGCAGCCAAGTGGTTAAGAAACCTGAAGAAGCTTCATGTTTCCAAAGACAGCTACTCATCAGAGTGGAGGAAGGGCAGAGAAAGTAGGCAATAGTATGCAGTATGAATGAAAGAGGTAGCTACAGTCTTAGCATTTAGTTTTAACTTTTCAGATATGCTCTTCCAGGATGGAATACAACACTAGACTGTGCAAATGCTCCTATAGCACAGGAATTATGAGAATGAAGACACAGAGACATTTAAAGCAGAAATGCAAAGAACGTGGATTTACGTTGGGAGGGCCAGCAACTGGGAACAGATCTGTTTGTCAAGAGAGAACAGTGGAAAATGGCAATTACCCATAATAGGATGCAATAAGAACCTCAGCTAAATGGGCTCTTTTGCACCTTTACTGCCTTGGTCTATGGCAAGCCAGGTCACAAGCAGAAGGCATTTCCAGGCTTTTCAGAAGAAGCCTAATAATCACAGAGCACAAACAAAGCAAAAACTGCAGCCCGCCAGGCTGTTTCCCAATACAGCTGGTCAGGGCAAGGTAGCCACATTCCCCCACAATACAGTTCCAATGGCACAGAGAAGGGAAACAGTCATGCACAGGATCATGTACGCCAGGAAATAATGGAGTTACACCCAGATGAGAAGTGACTTTCTGGTGCAATAGTGCAATCCGTTAAACCTAATAAGGTCACTACTGAAACAATAACTCTTTCCTAACAGGGAGGAATCCACCTTCCTTGCTTTGAGTCATCTCCCACCTCCCTTGCGTAGGGCACCAGTAGTTCCACCTAGTCTCAGAGAGCCATTTCCTCATACCTAAATGCCAGGGATTGATTGAGATGCTTCTTTCATTAACGTTTGTAAAGTGCTTCGCAGATTTAAAGCGCTATCTAAACGCTAAGTGTTATTACTACTCACCTTCTGCCAATGTTTAAAGGCAGAAATGAACTCCTTTTCCTCACTCTACCAAAATGTCAGCAGCTTGCATCAGGAGGTGAGCTAGCCTGCTAGTCTCAGCCTCTGAACTACCTTTTCTCCCTCAAAACTATCTAGTTTATTGTATGCATTCCCGGACATCACCTTTTCAGCCTTTCTTGGGTATTTCTCAATTCAGCCTTACCCTGTGTCTGCAGTAGTGGATGATCTGATGGCACTTATATGGCTGTTCTATACGAGTTCCTGAACCACAGAAGCTCTCAGCAAGGGAAATATAACACTGCTCTTTTCTGAAGGACCTACAAAAAAAAGTAACTCTTTGTTGCTCGGAATGACATGCATTTTCTTCCATAAAGTACTTAGAATCCAGAGGGGCTTCTTCCCTTCAATTCAAGAAGTTATAGAAGGGGTCGCATTTTGAATCTAAACCACAGGAACAATATTTTACTGCCTTTTTGACAATATTTTACTGCCTCTTTGGCAAAGCCCCTGCACTTCTAGAGGCCCTGTAGTTTGTAAGGAGTAGAGGATACAGTATCCTATATTGAATTGTTATACAGGACCTCAGCAGTTGGACACAAAGTCCAGTTCATCATTTCGGTGCACCTGCTGAAGTCACTTACATTAATGCACAATGGATATAAAGTGCTACTGTTCTGATGTGATGGTATTTGATACCACTCTTGCTCTGTTTGTACGGCACCAGTCCAGATCCATGGCCAGGGCTTCTACTTACTACTTGATGAACGCAGCTAGAGGCTATGGATAACAAGATCCCAGGGAGTACTCATGAACAGTTAGACTAAGCTCATGGGAAGCACAGAATCCTCCCACAATGGAACTATCACAGTAAAGGAGGAGGGAGGAGGACAATAACATGGGTACAATTATAAGAAAGTTAAGCAGGAATTTCTTTTCCAGTGAGGGAGGTCAGAGCTGCTGTGAGACTGATTGGTAACTTTGCTGAGCTTTGACATGAGTGCGTTTTGTCAATTAAAGGATTTCTGCAGGTCATGGTATGTTTAACTTTCTAGATAGGTAGTTTCTCTCCTGCCTCCATTGTCAGAAAATTCCTGCCATATGACAGCTCTGCTAGACTACTCTGGGCACAGAGGCTCTGCACGGCAGTGCTCAGGCTGTTTTACCAGCAACATGGTTGGTAAAACCAAGGTATGTAATGCGTTGTCGTGCAATGGGGAGGCAGAGAAGGGAGGGTGGGTGAGGGATGCATGCAGTTTCCCCTACACTTAGATCCAAGGGGTTCTCCCATTACCCTACCCCCACTTTAAAAACAGGGGACTTGCAATCCTACCAATGTCTACACATCTTCTCTTCCCTAAATCCCCAGAGGGAATGGCACAGGAAAGAGAGAATGAACATGCTTTTCGCTTAGGGAAAGCTTTCCTGTTTGCTTAATAAATACCTTCCAAAAAGCTTAGCAGCTCTGTAAACATACAGGAGATTTCAATACTTAGTAAAAGTTCATCTTTTCCCTGAACTCTCAATGACAGAAGCTGGCACTGATCTGTGATTACTGCACATGGGTGGTGCGAGGACCCAGCAGGGTCCAGCAGAGGCTCCCAGGCTCCACAGGGGCCTAGTAAATAATGCTGGGTGCTGACAAGCCTTTCAAATGTTGAAGTTGCTCCATCCATGCAGCTCTGAGATGAGAATCCTGTCAGTCCGGCAGCTCAGAGTAGTCCAAGGAACTGTGAAGTGACGATGGTGACATTCGGGAGAACTCCTTCTAGCAAAGGAAGGAACATGGCAAAGGGCTTTGGCTCTCCAGAAAACAAGTTTCCTTTCCTCTCAGAAGAAGCCTGGTGGTCACTGAACATAGAAATACTCAGGGGAGTAAAAACACAGTGCCAGCCTGATTCTTGCTGTGCCTGGCCAGGGAAGGGGAGACTGCATTTAGGGAGAATACAGCCCCAATGGCTTTAAAATTGGAGAGTGTCCTACAAAAACAATCCCCATGGAAGTGTGATGAATTGGATCTTGGGCCAGATCCAACATGTTAGTGCAATAGGGCCCAAAGTCTCAATCCGCTCATTACCAAAACCATTGAAAATAGTACCAGGGAGGTAATCTGGTCCCCTTGCTTCTGTCTATCCAATCTTGGAGCTTCAGAGAATCCACCCCTTCACCCCAAAGGATTCCCTGAAGCAAGATATCTCACTCCCATACCTCCGTAGGTGCCCTGGGGCAAGGTATCTGCCCCTTAAAGGAACTCAGGCAGACTAAGGTAGGGACCTTGCATCTACCTTTAGTGACTCAGACCCTCTTAATGTAGCAGGCATTGTGAGGCAATGCTTCTTCTCCCATATAAAAGCATGGGACCCAAGCACAATCCATCCTCCAGATATCACTGTGCTGCCACTGTAGCACCCCAGAAGGAATGTTTCCAAGTGTCTCCTCCGATCTGAACTGCCCAATGACCAGCTCTTCCAAGTATTATCCCAGCACTCAGCCTACGGGATCAGCTCGCAGAGCTGCACCCCTTTACCCCTGCACTAGAGGGCCGAAATCATGAGGTCCTCCTGCTTGGCAGGGCTGGTTACATGCCCAGAGGGAGTGGAAGTCCGGATTTTGTCAGTAGCCAGGCACTCCTGGCTGCTCACACCTGTGGGAGTGATGTCCATGAGTTCTCCAGATGAACTAAGAGGGAAGGAGGGTGAGACAGAGATGCCCGACGAAGGATCTGTTGAGCCTGCAAACAGCCTTGGGGGCTTTGGGACTAGGTTTGGCTCATACTGTGCCCTTAACAGGATCTCCTGATCACTAACAGACTTTGGCATCTCTGCAAAGTCACTGGAGCTGTCTGACACCATCATGCAGTAGATGTCCTGGAAGGAGCTGCTTTTGCTATCCAAATTAAAGAGGCTGTCTATGAACTCCGCAAACTCCAGTACTTGGGGACTAGGAACATCAGTGAGCCGACCATTCTGGAGGGACAGCTCCTCATGAGGGGCTAAAGAAACACGGTCCCCCTCACTGCTGGCCCCCTCCTCACTGCAGCGTCGCTGGGGAGTAGTACCACCGCTGTTGAGCACTGTGTCAGGGGGCTGAGTCTCCTGGGAGTGCTTGGAAAGGCTATCAGCAGCCAGCAGCTCTGTCCGCGAGCTGAGGGAGGGGTTCTCCTCAGGGATAACAGGGTCTATATAAAAGCAATGTGTCTCATCCTTCTCCATGACAGCATGGAGGCTGGGGGAGCCCCGGATACTCCGAAAACCAGAGGAGCGCCTTGAATCAAAGCTGTAGATGGATTCATTATCAGAGAGACTCTCCATGGTCGCTAGAGGGGCACGACGGTCCTGCAGCTCCACAGACAGACGTTCCTTTGTATCCAGGAGGAGAAGCTCCACAGGGTCTTTCTGCACAGGAGAAAGTGCCTTTGTCTCATAAAACCCCTCCAAACTAATTTCAGAATGGGACTTGCTCCTGCAAAGAGAAACAAGGACAACATGAGTTTGTATCACTCCTCAGAGAACCACAGGCTGTCAGAATAGCCAGAGGAACTGAGTCTTGGGCACAAACTTCCTGTGCATACTGAGGGCACTCATCACCTCTCTAACCAGAGCCATTTCATACAACTGCAGGAGATTCCTCTTTCATTTTTCCCTTCTCCCAGCTGAAAGCTAGCCCCCCCTCCCCCAACACTTCTACACGTACTCCCCGACACCTAACACTTTTATATTAATAGAGAGACCTGAGGTATGAGACATTAAAGGACAGGCTTACAGTTAACCTACAACTATTTTCTCCTCCTCCTCATTCTCTAAACCATTCTAGTCTCATGTCTTCCCCTCCTTCTCCCTGCTGGCAGTCCCTGCCTTACTACCAAAAAGTGCCAGGAGACTATCTTAGCAGCATTGTCTGTGACCAGTTCAGTTGCCATTTCCAATGGTAGACTTTAAAATAGGTAAAAGAGCAATTTACCCAGCTTATTTAAGACAGGTAAAGATCTTTAGAAAGATTCCAGTCACACTAAAAGACTTTTATGGACCAGGCAGGCTCCTCCTGATGTAGGTCAAAGATACAGGAAAAGAGCTTCCCACATCAAGTCTACACAAAGCTTAAGATTACTAGCAGTCAGAAAGTGATGGCCCTAAATACAGAAACTTGAGAAATATCTGGGACAAGAAGCTGGGCTTAGGTGAGGACTGCCACAGCTACCAAAAGGCACAGGACAATTGATGTATAGGGAAAGGCTTTTAATTTAAGCCAATATATGATCCAGCCGTCATTTCAATAAAAAAAGCGAACTGTAATATGTGCATGGCTGGCCTTGCTAAGCTATGAACAGGTGAACACAGGTGAACAGGTTTCAAGAACCCCCGAAAGAGGGAATCTGACACGGTAACTGGCTCCAGTCTTGAACTGAACACAAGGAAGCTACAACTCTTCCCCCTCTAATACCTCCCCCAAAGCCTCTTTTGCCCTCTCCCCCTCCTCCTTTCCCTTTCACATCTCACAAGAATCCCCCTCTGCTTTCACTCACCTCAAAATGAAGTAGTTCCTTAGGCTATTTCACTCCAGGGTTTGCTCTGGCTATGCCATGGAAACCATTCTCCTCCTCCCTACTGCTTGACTTAATCCATCTTCTCGGACTTACTGGAGCCTTCACAAACATGAGCTGCTCCCTCCTCTTCCTGTGTCAGTGCTGTGGTTCTGCTCCTGTCTAAGCTCTCCTTTGCTGTCTCTGGCCACCACTCACTCTCTCTGTGACAAGAACCTTATCATTTTCATATTATTTACTGTCTTCTCTCTTATCTTTCCTTTAAATTTACACCTCAGTCATGTTACCTCAAGAACTCTGCATCGCTTTCAGCAAGATCATCTCATCCTGCCTCTTCCCACATCCTATTCAGACATTGCACTGCTTCTCTTTCAGTCTCTTTACCCAAAATCTCCAAATTAGAAGAGATTCCCTTGCAAAGAAACAAGCATCTCTCACCACACTGCCATCTTCTGTTTCCACCCATGAATCCTATCTGCTGCTTCCAACTGTGAACCATCTTCCCTCTCATCTTATCACACCCGTTCTGTCATAAATTTGCCTTATATAGTGCATTTCTGTGCTGGAAGTCATGTGCTCCATCTTACAACTTTGAAACTTATCTTTGTCTGTATTTTTATATCCATTTTCTCTACCTCTTGCAAATCTGTGGTCTCCTTCAGTGCCTCAAACATTTCTGAAAAAGTGCAAGGAGTCTTTCTGCCATTTGGAGAGGAGAGCTGTTTGCATCTACCAGAAAGAACGAGCTCTTCCCCACACAAATCCTTTATATATCCACTAGATGTACTACCCAGCCTCCACCTTATAGTCTTTGCCAGCATACTTATGTCACTGCTCAGTGGCCGGTGGTCTAGTTTTCATAAAATAATCCCTGCAGGAAAATTTTCAGAATATGTGCCTTTCTCCCTTGTTTGCTTTCCACTGGACTGAGCTTCTGGCTCTTGTCCTTCACAAACAGAAATTGCTTTCCCCTCACACTAACATTGCCGTCATCTTTGTCCCATACTGCTGGTCCACACACCTGAATCTGTGTTTCCAGATTCTCCTGTTTATAATATTCCACAAGTCACAAGCATTAAGTGTGCATATGTCCTGGTAAGCTTATGGCATCCGCTGTTTCTCAGCTTTTGAGAATCAGTACACAGGGTATCTTTAAGCACATAATTCACACAGGAAAATGGAGATTTGGCTGCAACGCGTCAAGTTTTAGCTTTGTGGTTCCAGGGAAAACCCTAGCAGTCTTGATAAGGAGAAAAGGAAGTTTCTATACCTTCTCTTCTAGCATTTCCAGACCTTGCTGCATCAATGTATTCTTCAACAAGAATATGGCCAAGGCATGTGTAAGTAAAAGTCCCATACAGGCAGGCCTTGGATCTATCCTTCCCATAAACGTTGATCACAATGCCCCAAGTGGAAGAGAACCCACATCCCGAGCCAGTAAACCTCTTAAGAAATCAAAGAGAGATCCTTACTTAATACTGCTGTTCCTTCTGTCCACTGTTATAGCTCCAGTTCCAATCTGTATTGAGGGTCCGCTAGGCAAGGGTTGACTCTGGAAGATCAACTCTGGGGTTAGATCCACTTCTGTAGGACTCACCATTACTTTGGCTGCAGAAAGTAAAGCTGTTTTCCCCTTGTTGTAATTCTCCAGGACCTATTCAAAGTGAGCAAAGGAACAGTAGTGCTTTACTGGAGACAACAGTTTTGCTGTTCTCAGCTTGGGACTTCCATGAAACTGCTAGATTTGCACGTTTGTTTTTTATCACTGCCTTTTACAAGCACAGAGCAAGACCTTGAAATAAAGGATTATAGCAACTAACTTTGACACGGTCTACCCTGTCAGAGTGCCCTACTGGGAAACCGGCACTGGGGAACTGACCAAGGATCCTGTCAGAAGCAGCGTCAAGACCCCAGCAGGACAGAGGAGTCTTGGCTAAACCTACAAGGCAGGGCAGCATGGCTTAGGACTATAGTTCAGGGGCAAAGACCCATCCTGCAAGAATTATACATAAGCTCGATCACCCCATGGGATAACAGAGGGACTGCAGCAGCAAGCTCTAAGACTTTTGAAAACCCCCCTGTAGCTGCACACACGGATGTCTAGTTCTGTCATAGCTCACTAGATTCCCCCTGAAGCTTGGAATGAGCAGATTCTAAAAGAAGGAACTGAACAACACCCAACTTGACATAACTGTAGCATGGTATTTGGAAAGAGGATCTGGTTTAGGATATTGGTATTGGGATGAAGATCTACATTCAGTTTCCAGATCTCATTAAATTTGGCGCTAATAGCTTGTGCAAGACTGGCCCAGAGCACAGTCGTCTTCTCCTCGTCTCCCCAAAATAAATAGTACTGGCTATTTAAATAGCCAGCTCTGCTGGGCAAGGACCACCTACTTTGTGTTCATGAAGGCCTGCGAGAAGACATCAGTTTCACTTAGGGCATCTAAGTGCTTTTACAGTAGGAATTAATAAAACTGGACCCCATTAAGGGGAGTTTCCTGACTTTCCAACATACATGCAGAGCTTGTGCTTGGCCCTGAGAAGCTTAAGCAGCTCATACGCTTAAATCACCACACCTCTTGTCCATTTGCAACTATAAACTCACCTCTTTAGCACTGTCATGCCAAGCCTTTCCTGATCAAACCACGGCCTTTCATGCATTCAAGTCAAAGCTCATGTTGTCCCACTGAATGACCCCTCCCAACCCTAATTCTCAGTGTTACCTTGTTGAGCCCTTCCATGACCACATACGGGAGGTGTTCGTGCAACATTGCTGGTGAGATGATTACTTCATTAAACGCCTTATTGTCACCCCAGATAGCAAAGTAAGTGGGATCCTCTTGCTCACAGCAACTAGAAGAGTTGGGATATAAATAGAGGAGAAAATGGGGAGCAAGGGGATAAAAGAGTAGGTCAGTATTTTGGCATGCAAAAGTGAGAGAGGTTACAGAGACAGAAAAAGCAATAGGAGGAAAAAGAGAGAAAGGAGATATTACAGTACATACGCTACTGCCACTGCACCACGGATATGAGTATCTTCCCATCCTCACAGCACAGACATAGTCACCGTAGGACGGCGGAAAAAATCAACTCCCTCATAGATGGTTTCCTCTGCTGGGGAGTCTTTTCCAAAAGTAAATTTTCACCACCATCCATGGGCAGGTTTCACAGCTTAGCACATACTCACCAGCACTGTTCTGCAGGATGATTGTGTACCACATGGATGATGCGGCCAGGTGGGTAGAGTGGTGTGCTTGCAGACAGGGCAATTGTTAGATCACTGGGATGGGTCCAGAGGCGATTACTGGTTACTGAATTTTCTTCCCTCTCTTCAGGGAGCTCTGACTTCGGTATGCACTTTGTAGCACCCACAATGATTCGCCACTGTCCAACACAAGAACAGGGGAGGGACAAAATGGAGAAAAGGGAAAGATTCAGAGAAAAGCAAAGTCATCTTACAAGAGACTGCTAGGTAAGGTTATTTAAACCGAATACCTGAAAAGAACAGGGCTTGTGGCCTTGGTTGCTTAATCGCGTACCCAAAGGTAGAGATAACCCTGCCTAGAAAGAAAAGTTGTTTCTTCCTCCTTTCCTCTCCCCATTTTAACCTTAAAAAACAGTAAAATCTTGTCTTTCCTCTTTTTGCTGGAAGTTTTCTTAGAGTTAGGGATCTAGAGCAAGGACATTTTTGTCCTCCAACTAATAACTTACCAAACCTTTCAAAATAAACAAAGTAGATAGAATCTCAATTTTGGATTTTTAAAAATAAGCAAAAGACTATACAATATAACCAGACAAAACTTCCCTTTGGGTCCTTCTTTACGCACTAAAAGAAATCCCAGAAAATAAAAACCCACTAAAACCCACTAAGCCAAACCTTTTTGAGAAAAGAAAAATAAATATAAGAAAAATAAATGTAAGCTCCCTTTTCTCCCTCTACAGATCATTTTTATAATATTTTACCCCCCAAAATCTTAAAATCTTACAGCTTTTCTGTCTCAATGTGACAGTCAAGAAGTTTGGGCAGGAACAACTTTACATACCTATCTCCAAAATGTCAACAGGCTGTTTATCCTAGAACAACATTACCCAGACACCACACAGCTGTGCCTATCTATATAAATTCACAATTGCTGTACTTCCAAGACTGTTACCATTTGTTACCAACAAGAAAAAGCTGCAGGTGGAGCACAGGCTTCAAAATAAGCTCAGGTGAGAGAAATGCCTGCTTAGTTGTTTTAGGCCTGTGACACTGAACTTACAGCATGTGAACCAGAATCACCACACAGAACTCCAGTCACTGGGCTTCAGAATATAGCCCTAAGCTCTGACCTCTCTAGCTGCCTTCTAGCTTTTGCCATCACTCCTACAGTTACTTAGCCAGTAGTCACACCTGAGGAGACCTGGGGGCCAGAGAAGTCTGCAGTATTGCCGTGTGACTCCAGGAAAGTTTACCATCACTGCTCAGAGACGTAAATTCCAGTGTCTGTTAATCTTCACTCTTACCTTTGGTTTGTTACTTCTCTGAAGAACATCAAGAAGCTGCCGGCGAAACCCCTCTAGCTGTGAGAGACCAATCCTGGAAGAGAGGGGAAGAAGGGTTTACAATGGCTGGACAGGGAAATACTGACAGGTAACAGAGGACAGTAGGGACACATAGCACAGAAGAACAAGAAACTATGCTACAAGAGACACTTCAAGAATTCAACAATGCCATAATGCAGATCACTTCAGAGAGGAGGTGTGACATCACCCAGCACCAGTAACCAGGGAAAATAGGCCACAGGAAACCAATGCAACACTAAACAAGTATGAAAAGCAGTAACAGAATCAGAGTAGTAATGAACACAGGTATGAGAGAGGTCAATGAATAGATAAAGAGGGAGATGATACAGGGGTGCAGTTGCAGAAACAAGCAAGCAGGAAATGATTCAAGTATAGGACGCCACAGAACAGATAAACCAGAAAGATGGTAAAGAGCTATATGACACCACTAAACAGATTACCACAAGGACAAGATTTTTGTCATACAGGTTACCAACAGGCATACTCAAGTAGCACTGTAGTACTTTTCCTCCACTGAACTCTACGTGCCTAAGAAATGGCACTGTGTATCTGAGATCACGCAACAGGGCAGAGGTGAAAATAAAACCCAGGTTGCCTGGCTCCTAGGCCAATGCCCCGTTCAGGAGAACATATCCTGGGAGATGATGAGAGGTGAGAAATGTCAACAATAAGAAATTAGGGAGCTGGTTCAGAGATGTGAGATGATATGTACAAGTAATCAGGGACAAACCGTATAAAACATCAGCTGACAGCATAACTAGTTTGGGGCAGAGGGTAAAGAGGGCTGACATAACACAGGCAACCAGGCATCACAGATATGTCAGATACCGCAATGCATATATTTAAAGAGAGAGGATATTCTCCTTTTTCTTTCATACAGGCAACTGAGAGACAGGGGAGGGATATGCTCAAATAAAGGTGCGTGAAACACCAATATAGGTGTCCATGTAAAAGATACAGCAATACAGGTAACTAGGGAGACAAGTAAGAAGCACACAAGGACAGGTAAACGAGGAAACTGGAGACAGAGATGATCTGGGGGTTTCTGACAGGAAACGGGTGACCTTAGTATAGAACAGCAGATGCTTGTCAAGGAATTCAGAGGCTTCTCAACTTGCCTGGGCACTAGATCTTTGCCAAGCACGACTGCGGTCACAAACTCTTTTGAATACTCCATGGCATCCTCACTGGAAGAGAAACAGGACCAAGAAGAAGCAAACAGGGTTTCACTGGCAGCAAACTGCACTCCATTCCCAGTTTCTGCCACTGGGCTCTGAGTGGCTCCCACACATTGAACCTGGTCATACAAATAATCTAAACTGTTCAAAGCCTTTGGGACTTGCACTGAAATCCACATCCCACGCCCAAGCAACATTACTCCTTAATGATATAGTGGGCCCTTCCTACAGCTAGAACAGCTCCTTCCTTCCTTACTTGCATAGGCTCTGGATGTACTTGGAATAGGAAGTACTCAAACTCTATGCCTCATAGTGGTTTTCCTACAGTTTGGGAATAGCCAGGACATGAGAAAAGAAGGAAGAAGAGAATACTACATGCTCCCGAGACTACTCTAAAAAAGATACTGTAGAACTAAAATGGCCACTTTCTGCAGTAACCTTAACACCAAGATGAGAGGGAATTACGGCTTCCACTCTGTGATCTGTTTCCTTCTCCAGATAGCTGTCTTCCTAGAGACTTTCCTCTAAATCAGAGCCACCACAGGTAGAGGCCAGCATCACTGACCTAAAGATGATCCTGGGCATGATGTGCAGTGCAACAAAGATCAGATATGTGGCAGTTAGAGGTACTTCCTTGAACTCTGAGACAGCTGAGGTGACACACCATGGCTTGGCATGAGCTATCCAGGGATCTCAGGAGGGGAAGTTCTGCGCAGAAAGCTATAAAACTCTAATGGAACGTTCTGCAGAACAACTCTTTTATAGCCAAAGATGTCTGGGGATTGCTGTCATAATAGGGCATGCTAATGTCCAAATTCATTAGCAGGCCGGTTAAAATCCCCTGGCTAATGCAGGAACATGATGCAGTAACTATCACAAGGGGCTTCTCACAACATGCAGCTGTTTTCAAGTGCCCCCATGGTGTCTGTCATGTCTAGAAAGACCTTCTCTCACTCCATGACCATCAAGAGAGATGTTTTTACTTGGTTGCTATGGAATTAACATAACCAGCAGGTCTGTTCCCATTTACAGTAGGAGGAATTCACTTTACCTCTCTGAAGATATGCCTTTCTGAGGTAGTCACCCTAAATTCCTCCTACAGCCAAAGGAGAGAAACAAACACCAGAGAAGCACAATCCATCTGACCTATGTTAGGCATCCACTTCAGGATGAGAGAAATCGCACCCTGGAAGTGCCCATTTCTTTCTGTCAGCTGCAAAAGGAATCCAAACAACTAGATCTGATGCAGATATCTATTTTTGGTCAAACATCTCCCGTTCTGTATTCCACTCACAGTGGATGGGGAGGGGACACACTGGCACTGTGCAGAGAACAATAAGGAAGGAAATCACACCCTGTTCACCACCAGCCTCTCAACTTTCATTTTCCAGTAGTCAGGATAAAATTAGAATTTTAGCCCTAGATGACTGAGTCGCAAACCTGAATATTTTTGGGAGAGAAGTCATCTGCCATTGTAACCTAAACACCAGACTACTACACAGTACAAAGGCTGCCAACAACCCTCAGCTCCTACAACCTGTCACTCACTTTTCCTATACACTCCTCAAGGCAGAGGCTGTCTTTGACTATCCAAGAAAATATCACAAACAGGATCTGATCCTACGACAACTACACACCCTCCCTCATCAGACCTCCTGTCCCAACACCTACCTCAGTAGCCCACCTGGGGGAGAATATGCAAAGCACTTCAGTGATGGGTACTGTGGACGCAAGAGGAAGGACAGGATGGCAGCTGTGCCAGCCCCTAGAGAATGACCAACCACAATCAGGCCATAGTGTTTTGTCCCTCTGCCCTGAAAACGAAAAACAAAACAAGAAATTGAGATCAGACTGAAAGGAAACTCCATATCAAACCCCAAAACCAGTCCCTTCCCCCAGCTGCTGAGTTTTTCCTATACATTAGCACTCCACGCTCCTGCTAACCAACTTCTCTACCAATGGAAACTAGTGATGGTATGTTGAATTTTGAAACAGAAGCAGAGTTCTGATTTACACTGGCTAGTCTATGTCACAGGGGCAGCCCAAACACATTCAGTTCCTGCTCCAAAATAGCCCCACATGTTCTGAAGGGACACTGGAATTCATTCGCTTCTGGAAGTCTCTCCTACATCTCCATCTGTCAGTGTTTGACCTATTAGGTCTTTCCTGGGGAAAAAAAAAGTGGGAACGGGGAAAAAAGGGGGGAGGCAGGAGACGTATCCTCAAACTGTTTGGGTTATTTGGGAATTGACATATGCCTTTTGCTCCTCCTCAGATCTGAGAGCCATCAGATAAAACTCGAGTCCAGGTTCATAAATCTGAGCTCTCCTTGGTTCTAGAAATGATAATTTGTTCTCATTAATTCCATTCCTCGGGCATGCTGAAAAACAGAAAGCTTAACTTGCAGTTTGAACAGTAATCATCTAAAGTCTAGATGTTCTCAACAGTTGGCAGACTTACTCAACTAATTTAGGGACAAAACTAATCTTTAAAGTTTAGTACTGTTTTTGACATTCAGAGGCTGGAGTGACAGGCATGGCTCAAATCCTAGAAGTTTACTAAAACAATGTTTCAGAAGTCTGAGTTTTGTTTCTCTTCAAGATCACAGAGCAGTGCCAGAGCCTTGTAGGTTTTATATAGGGATAGAGAATCTAGCATCATACTCCCCAAGACTTCAGGACATCACAGTGGAGGCCATACTTGAACCTCTGCATAAGATGAGAAATCATAGAACAAAAGACCAAATCACATGAATGAAAGTTCTATCATTGTGTCGTTTTCCTTCTCAAGGCATCTCTAAGTCACTATGACACCTCTTACAGTCAGCAAGGTGAACACCAGGGGAGAATTACACTATGTAAACCTCATTTTATTTTTTTCCCGAACGTCTGCTGCTGGCAATTGTCACAAACAATGTACTGGGCTAGATGAACCTTTGGTATGACCTGGGACAACATTTATGCCCTGTTTGTTCCACTTCTTTGGATCTTTCTCAAAGTCAAGTTTCAGACAATATTTCATTTTCTGCACAAAAGCCTGTTTCTCCATGTCATATTAATGGAGCTCTCTCTCCATCCTTGTGGATCAGGTCCAATTAGTTACATTATTCTACAGCAATTAACAATTAGACCCACCATATGTAACGCCAGCTTTGAATAGAACACAATATGACGTACTATCACACACAGAAGACAAGCAAAGCATAGAGCTATGTCACTATATCCTTGTCAGTCAGTTAGCAATTGAGCACAGCAGGAAAAATTCCCCATGAGTAACAGCTCACTTAACAAGACCAATTTTCATGTTCTGGGCAGAGAGGAATAAAGCACCATATAAAGAAGTCAGATGCCTATGTATCTCTCCGTACATCTACCAAACATTACAAGGCAGATGCTTTCGTTTTAACTAGTGCTTAAGACACTTAAGTTTCAGGGAGCAATTAAGCCCTTCATCTCCCTTATCCTTTTCTCTCTCCCTTCTGTTATTGTTAATTTCCTATAACAGTGGGGAATCAGTCAGTTCAGAAGAGCCTACCGGGCATAGACCATACTACTACGACACATAAGCTAAGGTAAGCTTCTTCCGAACATCTCTCGGGTTCTCCCATAGCTCTCTCCATCCCAAGAAACAGAGACATAGAGTCAGCACGGAATCCCATTACTGCCTCCAAAGAGAGTCTCTACAGATATGGGATTTTAGTTCCTGTTGACTTGTTTTTAGTGTTCCCTAAAACACCACTGCCACCAAATGGGACTTCTTGTTTTAGCTTTGCCTGAGAACAAACTGAAGAGCTCTGCAGGACTTTTGCGCAGAAGGCTTCAAAATAAAAAAAAAGCTTTGGAGGAATAAGTAACTAGCTGTCTCTCTGGCAATCAAGAGCGGCAGGAATTGGAAGGAAGGTTTAAGAAATTAGTACAATAGATTGAGGGACATGGAGATGGAGTTTTAACACCAGCAGTTTAGGGAAATCTCATCTTCCGTATAGCCTGCAACGATAAAAGAAAACTAATGCTCACCAGGTCTCGTCCAAATGCTTGAGAAAGCACCATCTCTTGTTCCAATTTCTTCTTGATGTACTCAGCAGATAGCACCATTCCCTGAGGATAGACATGAAGACAGAGAACAGAATGTGAACAGCTGTGTATGAGGCCTAACCGAACAGGCACCATCCTACCTGAATGCTATGTAAGCTCCAGAGTGCCACAGAGCACATGGCAGGGTTGAGCAAGAATACTGACCCCATTTCACACTTAGTTGACTTCATTAGGCACACGCCTTGGCTCAATGATTAGCAGAGCCATGAACTATTTAGGAGTAACAATAGTTCTAAAGTCATGACAATACTCAAAGGCCCCATTCCTGGGCTCACCGTATAGTCTGAAAAAAAAAAAAACACTTCTTAAATACAAGGTTGTGTACCTGGTAGTTCAGCTCACGCTGAGAGCTGTGGTAGAGCAGAGAACTCAACTTTAATTTTTGGCAGTGTCAGTTTCTTAAATGCAAAACTCTATACTTTCAGTTAAATCTGTGAATGAAAACATGAACTAGCCTAACAATTTCACAGAGAAATAATACAAACACCAAGACACTACTGGAGGGAAAATGTGGCAGAACTATCTGTACAGAAAGGAGACACTGGTAACTGGAGAAGGCAGCAGATGAAGTGAATTCCGTGGTCCAAAGACATTAGTTGCAAATTACTAGAGGTTTTGTTTGACAGAGGCTAGGAATTGCTAGAAGACGGGAAAAGAACTGATAGTCTGGTTTTAAACATCTATCATCTCTCTGGTGATTGCTGCATTTGAAGAGTGTTTGTTTCTCACTCTAAGCACACTAATTATAGATGCAGTTCATCTCTGTTATAAAACCAAGCAACTAGAATTTGGTCTGTTGCGTAAATTCTTGGTTACACCTTTATTACAGGTTAATTCAGTGGTAGGGAAGCCTGAACTGCAAAGGCTGAAAAACAATGACATAGTCCAGGATAAACATGGGTAAACAGAAATCAGCTACTTCCAATTTGCTCAATTCATACTTCAAATAATTCATACTGCCTGGGCTGGCCAAGAAAATAGAGAAGTTTATCTAGTCTGCTATTTTCAATTACATCTCTCCATGAAAACTGTTTAAACACAAAATGAACATTACCAAGCACTGTTTAAACTCAGACATAAAAGGAATCCATGGTCCTCACAAAAAGCAAAGAAATGGGTGTTCTTCAAAGTCATCGATATCAAACATAACATCAAACCAATCTGCCTACTGAAGAAAACCAGCAGAACACAGGTGATTTTGCTGAGCCTGTAAATGGGACACTTGTAACACTATCGTCATTATCAAAAAGCAGATGTCATGATTTTTCCTGTCTGTGCTTAGACCTTAGTTAGTCAGCTTCAGCTACATTTAGAACAGCCTCCATTTCCAATTCTAATAGGAAATGAATGGCAGACGACTTATATGAATTTCTAACATGGATTTAGGATTCTATTTTTGTAAAGCATGACCTAAATCCATGGTGATGTTCTAACAGGCTGTTAGTCAGCCTTGTAGCTATACCTGGATAATGATAGTCCAATCTAATACAAACAGTGGTTTTAAAATCATGGAATCAGAATTTAATCACTGCAATGTTGCACTGAGGATCTCTGTTAAAGTGGATACTGTTTTAAAAGTTTCAAAAGAAAAAGCCTGGGCTTGATTTTAAAACCTCATACCAGAGGGATTAGAGATCTAGAGGAAAATGAGACGAAAATATTCTGTACTGCTTTACAGTTTTAAGGCACAAAACCTCTCCGCAATATTTGAAAAAAAGAAAAAAGTATTCTTTTTGTATAACATCACTTCAGTTCTCTCTAGCATAGAATGCACTCAGGCTTTCCTTGCACACAAGTGTGAATACCCACAGAGGGCTCTATTTAGCAGAGAGAAAAGAAAAGTTATTAAAAGTTATTACTATTACTAACTGTTCTATCAAATGGTCAAAAGCTGTTATCACAGCTGAGCTTTCAAGGCACCCTTTTAGCAGCTACTTGCTGTCACTTTGGCTGGCTCACCACCACGAAATAAGCATTCATTACACCATCATTTTAGGAGTTTAGGTCTGTACAAGATCAATAGAATTAAATATGGATTCTGGTCCTTGACTTATAATTATTTTTAAATTAACTTTGTTATAAAATCAGTGTTTTTAAAAAAAACAGTGACACTAAGATTTTTTTTTGTATTTAATTTCTCCTCCAAATTGTAACAGTCCCTTGTTATTAGGCCTACCAACTGATAAACCTTAGTTACAGCTATGCTTTTTGACACAAAACAGTTCACAGACCTAATAAATGTTAATGGTAGCTTCAACAGTAACCCAAACACTCAAATGTTTTTAGCTGTGGTAGTGGTAGAGTGATAAGTTGGCTCATGTAGTGTAAACATCAAGAGTTTTAATTTGTAGAATGTCTGATCAACACTGCAGGAAGGAGAATGACAGGCTGGCTCCACAGGTGGAGTTAACAGGCTAATTCAGCTTGCCAAATATGCAGGACAGAATCAGCATGAAAAATAATAAAAATCAAACAACTTACAGGAAGCTTCCAAATGGCCAAGTATTTTTCTCCAAATTAAATGTAAGTGTTAGCAAAACATTTCATTTATTTTTATATCAAAATTGACTTATAGACATTAAAAATGCATTAAGATAGACATTTTAAAATTCTATCATCTCCATTAGTCTCCCTTAGGAATCAACAGTACATTACTGTCTAACGATTAACACTGATAATACTTATAAATAAAGCTGTATTTGCATACTAGTAACAATAGAAAAGGAAATAATGAAAAGTCCAAATAAAAAGTCAGCATAGAACAAAAGGGAATGATCTGATAATGTGTTTCAGATAAATTACAGGCATATGAATATTTCTACTTTAAAAAGATTAAAAGAAAATCTTTAACTTCTGCAAGTATCTATTACTAGTTTTTGCACTCATTAAAAACCAAGCTGGTTCCCATTACTTTCCTTTAGTTTCTTTTTACCTTTTTCGCTTCATACAAACTGTTTATCATAACAATTGTGCAAAGGCATTTTGAACTAAAGGAATTAGTTCAAAAAGAAAAAAAGACATTAGCTTTGACAGTCTACATAATGTGTTAAAAATGTTAAAAAGAAATAAAGGTTTACATATCTAAATATAAATTATGTGATAAAATACTGCCTCATTTATTTATGTTTCCATATTAAGTTCTATTTAACTGGTACATTGATTCATTTTGGGGAAAATATAAGAGAGACTCATTATCACAACAGCAGGAACACAACCTTGTTTTGAAAAAGGGCCCATTCTGCAAAACTATCTGAGATCAAACTCTTTCAAGAAAAAACAGTCTCAGTGGCCACTTATTTTCTTTTTTTTTTTTCTTTTTCTTTTTTTTTTTTTTAGGTAACCACCTCGCTATCAGGCCCATATCCAGCTAAGCATTTCAGCATTTGGTTATCTATCAGCTGCCAATACTCCACTTTATAAAGCAGTACATTAAAGCACAGTGAAGGGGGTCAGCATTTGGGCAGGACATCACGAATGAAGCAGGAGCTCCCAGTTCATGGCTGCCACTGAGCTATTAGCTCAATGTCCTGCCCTGAAGAGACCCTGACTAGATGATCACCAGCATCTTGCTTCCTTCCATGAGAGGTGACATTTCCCAGCTGCCGCTAAGTTCTTTCTGACACACGCAACCTCCAGCTTCTATTTTTCTTTCCCACTCTGGCACATCATCTTTGAGAGGCTGCCAAACCCCTGACAATCTTAAAACTCTGCACGTGTGCCATTACTCTGCGGGACTAGGGCAAAGGTGAGCTCTATACTAAATTAATTTAGTCAGTGCAGTCCTGATGACTAAGTGAGTCACATAGCATCAGTCTACTTTTACAGATGCAAGTCCTGCCAATATCCTTTTATGAGGTTCAATGACTATTCCATTAAAATGCATTTTTCTTAAACACATTGTAAGGATCACACAGAATCACAGAAGAGTTGAGGTTGGAAGGGCCCTCTGCAGCTCATCTAGTCCAATCCCCCTGCTCAAGCAGGGTCCTCTACAGGCTATTTCCCAGGATCGCCTCCAGGCGGGTTTTGAATAGCTCCAGCGAAGGAGACTCCACTACCTCTCTGGGCAACCTGGTCCAGTGCTCAGTCACCCTCTCCGGAAAGAAGCTTGTCCTCAGGTCCAGATGGAACTTCCTGGCTTCCAGTTTCTGCCCGTTGCCTCTTGTCCTGTCACTGGCCACCACGGAGATGAGCCTGGCTCCCCATCCTCGCGACAGCCTCCCTCCAGATACTTGGACACATTGATGAGATCGCCGCTCAGTCGTCTCTTCTCCAGGCTCATCAGGCCCAGCTCTCGCAGCCTTTCTGCAGAGGAGAGATGCTCCAGTCCCCCCCTCCCCCCATCCTCTTTGTAGCCCTCCACTGAACTCGCTCCAGTAGTGTCGTGTCTCTCTCTCTCTCTCGTACTGGGGAGCCCAGAATTGGAGCCACTACTCCACATGTGGCCACACCAGGGCTGAGGAGATGGGGAGGAGCACCGCCCTCCACCTGCTGGCAACACTCTTCCTCAGGCACCCCAGGATCCCCTTGGCCTTCTCGGCCACAAGGCCACATTGCTGCCTCATGCTTCACTTGTTGTCCTCCAGCACTCCCAGCTCCTTCTCTGCAGAGCTGCCTTCCAGCAGGTCAACCCGAAGCCTGTCCTGCTGCATGGGGTTATTCCTCCCTAGGTTCTTAGGGCTGTGGGGAGGAAATGTGCAGAATACCATGCACAAACCTCTGAAACCAGATACTTCTGCCCCAAAGGCACGCAGAACTGTAACTGTAAACCATACTAACCACCAGGACTCCTGCACCAATGGAGTCAACTGCCTAAGAAATAGGTTCTCACCAACTAACTAGTACACAACAGGAACTGCAGAGGGATGGGCTGGGATAATCCTCCATAATCCTCATGGATAATCACCATCCTCATGCTCCACCTTCATTTAGAGGCACCTTTCCACACCCCTCATACTCTGAGTCCAGGCTATCCATCACCAGCCTTATTTCCAGGCCTCTTGACAACCTGGCCATAGCTTCATACTTTTTATTTCCTATAAATTTATATGGATTTGGGTCTCAGCAAGCCAAGAGTTGGGCAATAACAGAAGGGCCAGAGACTTAAGGGAATCCCGGAAGCCTGGAAAAGATCTCAGTGCAGAAAGATGGACAATACTGCAGAGCTCATTCTGAGAGCTTAGGGAGGTCAGGAGTACAAGCCCAGCCTAAGGACAGGGGTTGCTGGTATCCAACACGGAAGACTTTTTCTTCAGAAAAAGCCCAGGTCAACAGAGAAGAGTCATTTTGGGATGCTGAAGAAGTGCTGCCAGTAAAAGTGACACCGTTCATCTACACCTAAACCAAGTTCTCCATCTCCAGTAATTAGGATTTGCTATGAATCCAGCTTCCATTACTTGCTCTCTTCCCAGCAGATGTCAGGGTGCTTGAAGTCCCCCATGAGAACCAGGGCCTGTGAGCGTGAGGCTACTTCCAGCTGTCTGTAGAAGGCCTCCTCGACTGCCTCTTCCTGATCGGGTGGCCTGCAGTAAACCCCCCACCACCACCGTGTCACCCACGTTAGCCTGCCCTTTAAGCCTTACCCATAGGCTCGCAACTTGCTCTTCATCCACCCCACCCCACCCCACCCCACCCCAGGCAGAGCGCCATACATTCTAGTTGCTCCCTCACATAAAGGGCAACTCCACCACCTCACCTTCCTGGCCTGTCTTGCCTAAAAAGCACAGAGCCAGCCACGACAGCATTCCAGTCGTGTGAGCTAGCCCACCGCGTCTCAGGAACTGCAACGAGATCATGGCCCTGCGACCACACACACAGAACTCTAATTCTTCCTGCTTATTCCCCATGCTGCTGATTTCATTGCAAATTCTGAATAGGTCATTGGAAGAAAAAAGGTAATTTCAATGCCACCAGTAATTTTGTTCTAGGGCTCCACAAACTCCTTTTGCAGTTGTTTATTCACTAGTTGTCCGGTGGGGTTTTTTGTTTGTTTGTTTTTTTTAATTGTTTGTTTTTTAATTACCAATATAGTGGTTTTAAACTGTTGTAATTTAAGGATTTTTTAAATTTTACAGTCATTTCACTGCAATTATATAACATCCTTCATGAGAGCACCTCAAGCAATTAAGACTGCTACAGGTTTTTTTGTTTGGTTGTTTTTTTGCTTATACTTAAAAGTCAAGACATCAGAATAAGAAGTGGTTTCTACATACTTTGTGTCCTAGCCACGTTCCATGGTGACCCTCAACTGGAAGGCGCTCTGCATCCCCAGTTAGGTCAGTCAAGGCATCCTGGAAGAAGGAATTTACCATTTTTTGGACAAGAAGTCAAGCACCAAGAGCAAATAAGGAAGGTCTCAGATTATCCCCAAAGATTGCTAAGGGCCCAGGGTATTTGAGGCCAATACACAGTGCACCTACTTTTGGAGATAGAGTTCCTCGGATACTGATGACCACTTTCTTCTTATCATGGTCCACAGCAACATAGAAAGGAGTTTCATAAACCTGGAAAAGATCCACTACTGTAACACACTGGCGAGGCATTCCAGCTTACTTATTCTCCTACTTGGGGAAAAGTAGGCAGAGTAGCATGACAAACTATGCCTTAAAGGGAAGGACTACACTGAATGAGCTCTGATTTTTGGTAGTAGCTATTACTTCTGTCCAAATGGCAGAATTTCTTGGCAGAGAGACGGAAGAAGGGGCTCTAGGGTCAGAAAAAGGCTTAGGTTACCTTCTTTGTACTACAGCACCTGAAAGCACACAGGCCCAGTAAGGAGGGGCCATAGGAGCATGCACCAAATAGGAAGGGGCTTGCAGGCTCTCCTCACCGCATCATGACAAGAAGTGTAAACAATGTCTACTGAAGTCATATTCTCATCCAAGAAGTGGCGCCGGATGGCAATGGCATTACAGCCACAGCAGTTATCCTCCTCAATGGTGACACTAGGTGCATAGCGGGGACGCGAGGGGCAGAGACAGCAACATCTGCAGAAGTAAAAAGAAAATAGCTTTGTGGAAAAGAGGAAAGTGGAAGAGATTGTGGCTTTAGTGTGGAATGTCTAGAGATAGGAACGGGAAAGGAAGAGGTCCTGCATGCCACAGTTTGGCTTTAACTCAACACCCGTGATTTCCTTCACTTTCAGGTGCTCTCACCCAAAACAGGACACAAAACTCGTTTCAGCATCAAAAAAAGGCACTGGGATGGGATGTAGTTTTCCTTCTGAGCACCAGAGAGAGCTACAGTGCAATAAATCCCCAAGGAATCACTGCATGATGGCGCTGGGATCTCTCCTCAGGGGATGCTATGCTTAATAGCATGGTCCTAAATTGCTTAAACACACAAAGCAGCTAGCATATATTGAACTCTACATCTATTTTTTAGCATTAGTTATACCAAACAACAAAACAGTTCTAGAATCATCCCACAACCAAATAGGAAGCTTAGATTTTCTTTCCTTTTGGTTTCCCTCATGAGACACTTAATACACAAATGCATCTTAAAAGGTAATATATTCTTCCTAATATACAAACAACTTCCGTGCTGAGCCCAATTGTAAAAAGTTCAATCCCAAACAGAATCTAGTGACAGAACTACAGTAGCTGGAGGCAAACATTTAAAATGATAGTGCAGTCCTGAACTCAACTACGGTATTGCTACCATAAGGTAAGCAATATTTTCAATTCAATTAAAAACATAGCATGGCAGAAAAACCCCCATCAGTCAGAGAGAACAAGCACAAACTGCAGCCAAGTCTTGCTGACCCAAATATCCTCCCTGCATATCTGGGCTTGCTGATAAATCTGACTTCTGAGTGCCAAGCAGCAACTTTGACTCAGTGTGAATACAGTCTTATGCCAGATGACTTTTCTCTGCTGGCTGTTCAAACTGTACAGGACTGGCATGATCTTTAGTGCACCAGAGATGACAGAGTATGAGATGGCCTGGTTTATTTAACAGGGTAAGCAGATAAGCAACTGTAAGAAAGAAAGAAGGACTGAAGAGAAAGACATGGGAGTAGGAAAGGTTTGGAAAGTGACTAAGAGAGATGGAAAAAAAAAAGAATGAGAAAGGAAAGGGAGAAAGAGGAAAAAAGCAGAGGAGAAAAGGAGGAGAAAAATAGAAGAGGGATGAAAAGAGAGCAAATTGACAAAAGAGAATTCTAAAGCAGGGGAAAAACAGAAGGGAAAGGGAAAAAGTAAGAGAAGGCAGAGCAAATAGACAGGATAGCCACTCACGAGCAGGATCTGGCCAGGCGACAGAGTCCACATGTGGGCTTCCTCATCAGGTACATGGGCCACCCATAGGCAGCCAAGGCAAACAGCATGTAGTAACACACCTCCTTATATCGCTGCATCTCTTGCTGAAAGAGACAAGAGACTCACTAAAGGCCTGATACCCTTTTAGCTGCTGTATTTTTCTGCTGTTCCCCTTTTCCCATTAGAGTTAGAGAAGTGCACCCTTTTTTCTGAAAGTCAGCCTTCTCTCTCACCCCCATCAGAAGAGCAAACACTGACGGCACCTCCAGGTGACTACCAGAGAGCAAGCTGGTTACGCTGAGCTAGATCCTCCCCCTCCTAAGAATAGCTATGCCAATTTTGTGAGTGGAGGGGCCCAGCTAACTGTTTAATAAAGCAAGAAAATACTTATAGAGACATTACCCTCTGTATACCAAAAAGCCTTCAAGAAGGGAAGGCCATGCCCTGTGGGTTTTGCTCTAACCTGTCTGAGCTAAGTAGAGCAGAAATTAGTTTAAGTGGATAAATAGGTAAAGATTAAAGGCCAGACCAATAAGGGTGACACTGTTGTGGGGGTTTACGACAGGCCACCCGATCAGGAAGAGGCAGTCGAGGAGGCCTTCTACAGACAGCTGGAAGTAGCCTCATGCTCACAGGCCCTGGTTCTCATGGGGGACTTCAAGCACCCTGACATCTGCTGGGAAGAGAAAGCCCAGCTAGACACAAAGAGTCGAGGAGGTTCCTGAAGAGCATTGAGGAGAACTTCTTGACCCAGGGGGTGGCGACGCCAACAAGGAGAGGTGTGCTGCTGCACCTGGTTCTAACAAACCAAGAAGGTCTGGTTGGAGATGTGCAGGTTGGGGGCAGCCTTGGCTGCAGTGACCGTGCGATGGTAGCGTTCGGTATCCTAGGAGGAGGAAGCAGGGCAATAAGTAGGACGGCAACGCTGGACTTGAGGAGAGCTAACGTTGGCCTCTTCAGGGACCTACCTAGGGGACTGTCATGGGGTAGGGCCCTAGAAGGAAGGGGCGGGGGGGCGTGG